GAACACTTGTTGAAACAAGCCACATGACCATGTGTATCCCTCTCCTTTAGAGAAAGGAATGTGTTGTTTGAGGTTGGTCGATAACCTGAGAGATCTGACCACTGACATCCTTGACAGATGTCCCTCAGGCAGATATTAACATGGCAACAACAGTAGTGCTCATGAGCCCTGAGGGACATACAGTTTCATCAACATGTACACTTTACTCAGTGTTACAGATATGAGGCCTTGTATTATGAATTATGCTACTATAAATGTTGATTATATATGTTTTCCACAATTTGTTGAGACAAAACTTTTCAGACTTCTTAGGTTCTGTCTGAAGTAGAAGGATGCATCTGTCATATATTTTGAGTCCATGGAACATGAATCAGTACACTTTGGTGTAGCCCGATTGTAAAGAGAGCCCTGACTGCCTGAGTCTTAGAAAATGTGCATTTCCTAGAATATTTTTACAGAAATTTTGCAACATGTCTGTATGTTTGAGCTATACTACCTTGAACATTAAGACTTTAATATTCAAAAGATATGTACGATATCAGTTGCTGGCATTATATATTAAGGAAGAGAGAATGTTATTACAGAAGATTAAGTTTCATTTTGCCAGAAGTTAAAATAGGAACCAGAAGTTAAAATAATCCACCTGTGTGCTGCGTTTGTAAAAAGGCTTTCTATGATTCTTAGTGTGCTTCAGTTGGAAGGGAAGCAAGCTGTTCTGTGCAGAGTGAAATGCTGGCAGCCCGGGCCCTGAGAGGAAAACTGAGTCCAGGTGCTTCATGATGGATTGTTTCATTCTATATTTCTGAATTTCTAGCCATCCAGAGTTCAGATCTTTCCCCCATTGAAATTAAAACAACAACAAAAAGGTGACATTGGTATCTTTCATTTTACTGATAAGTGAAATTGAATAAAAGCACTTAATTTTTCTCACTGAAAATTGGTAACATTTTATTCTCTGAAATATGGGCAAAGCCAAAGGGAAGGAACCATGTGGTGGGAAAAAGTTAGCTGATCTCCACATGGAAGCTGTGCTTATTCCACTCTGAGGCAATCACTTTACAAAGGAACAGAAGTTCCTAAGTGTGTTTGCTTATACACCAAGTAGGGGCCATGTTGACTGCACCCCTTGAGTTGGGTGCAGGCCACCCCTGATGTTGTCTGTCTTTGTGATGCCTGTTGGCTCAATGGGTTCAGATCCACTAGGAAGACAGATTGAATATGGATTCTCTTTATAAAGCTATAAAAAGTCTGTCAGGTTTCTGGGAACTCCTGTTGGTATAAAGTTTTGTGTAGGTTTTTCCAAATGTGTATGCAGTCACTGTGGATCAAGGTGAAACTTCTCTGTGAGGATCATTGTGTAGTCCTGTGTTGTGGTGAGAGTGTTCTGTAGAGGACTCTCTCAGGAAGAGGTCTCTGAAAGAATGTGAAGTCCTAGAAGACTGGGAGGTCCTGGGCAAGGTTTCTATGAGAGCTAGTTGTCAATATTTTATGGTCCAACTGGGTCCAAGTATTTTGTCCCTGTGTGGGTTCTCTGGAATCATCCTTGGGAAACTCTGTAAGGTCATAGTATAAGGTCTCTGAGGTAAGTAACTCTGCCAGGCTTTGTTTTCCTGGAAGGTCACTCTGTAAGCTTCTGTGAGGTCTCTATGCATGTTTTGTGTGTTGGTCTCTGTGTGAGGTATCTGAGGGATGATCTGTAAAGTCTCCATGTGATGTTGAGATGGATGTGTACTGTATGGGAGCTCTGTGTGCTCCATACAGAGGAGATCTCTGTATGCTCTGTGCACCTAAGTGATATTTCTGACAGGAAGTTGAGTGTGAGGATGATGTGGCAGTCAGAGACCCCTGTGAGAGATTTCCATTTAATTCTCTGAAGTGACCCTGAGGGCTCTCTTGGTACAAGTCTCTGTTAGAGGTGTTTACAGAGTTCTGTGTGAGCACTGTGAAACTGGTGTGTGATTTCTAGGGGTACTCCTGGCAAGTGAATCTGTAAATTCTTTAGCAGTCTGAGGGGAGGGGTTCTGTGAGTGTGCCATTGTAGGCTTATCTGGAAAGATCTTTGAGGCTCTATGGGAATCTTAAGTAGGCTCTGAGGGAGTCTCACTATGCATCTCTGAGGAGGTCTCTAAGGAGTATCTGGAGGAGCTGCTAAGTGTTTGCCTCCAGGAGAGTTTCAGGATGTGTCTTGGTTGAGTCCTATCCGTGTGGGTTTTGTAGAGGGTGGGTCTCTATATGTGGATCTCTAATTCTCTGAGATCTCTAGATATCTGGAGATCTGTGTGGGAATTCATGTATCTGTTCAGGAGAGTTTCTGTTTGGGTCCCTTTGGAAGCCTGGGGCTTCTCTGTCAGCCTCTGTGTCAGGGAATTAATGAAATATCTGTGCATTTCTTTGTGGAGGTCTCTGTGAGAGTCTTAGTGTGGGTCTTCTTTAAGGTCTGTTAACATGGTTTTCTCTAGAGTTCTATGTATGAGTCTGTGTGTGGCTCTTTGTGGAGGTTTGTGCTGGTCTCTATGGCTTGCTCAAAATCTCTGCGTTAGTGTCCATGCATACCTTGTGGAAGATTTCTTTTAGAGTCTGTTCAGGCCCTAGGGATCTCTCTCAGAGTGGCTGTCAGGTAATAGTCATATTTCTGGAGAGTTCTCTCAGACACAATCAAGGCAGATCTCTCAGTAGTATATCAGGGCCTCTGTGGATATCACTCTGTAATTTTGTCAGTGTGGATCCCTGTGGCTATCTTTGTGGGGGTCTCAATGGAATCTTTCTAGTTTCTTTCTCATTGACCGTCCTGTCATCCTTCATGCAGGACAGGGCCAGTGACAATAGGAATTACTCTAACTTGCTCCCTTTCACTCTGTCCATTGTCTTGTGTGGACCTTGTCCCCTCCATAGTCCCAGAGTCCACATCCAGCATCTTCTCACCACCTCCAGAACATGCTTCTCTGGCTCAGGGTCCTTCCTCTGCTCTTGCTTCTTGGACCACACTGGAGGCTAAAATAGTCCTTAGGGGAAGCAGGACCATAACAGATCTGTAAGGGCTTCTATTCACACGCTGAAGGGCCACATAGTCCCACCTATGGCTGCCTGTTGGGAGCAGGGCCAGGGCCCTGCCTGTAACATCTGCTTCAGTGGCACTTTCCATTGTGGAACTCTCCATCAGGGAACAAACTGAGACCACTGGAATGTGGTTCACTTTGGGGTCACAGCATATGACAGCCTGGAGAAATAGCTCCTTTTGTCACTTAGTTTTGTTGAAATTATAATTAAGCGATGTCTGTACAATAATCCATTGCTGAGCTCATAGTGAGCAGAATGAGCAACAGGAGATGGGGCAGAGCTCCAGGCAGTAGGACACATGGGTATGTCTCCTCTCAGGCCCTGTCACCCACTCAGCTTCCTTCCTACAGTGAGTTAAGCAACTCTTATGGTCTTGCTGCCATGATGTTCCTGCCTTCAGTCACCTGACCATGTCCTAGAACCACCAAACCTATGAGCAGAAATAAGTTTTCTTACTTTCAGTTGTGTTTCTCACCATGGCCAAAACCTGACTAACCCACCCCATCTCCCTGCTCTGGTGCCTCTTGCTTCCCTAAGTTAATGGGCTCTGGGAAGAGGAACACTTGGATGGAAGCAGGGTGAGGCTCAGTGCCTCAGTATCCTCTGTTTGGAAGAGATGATGTCCTCTTTCATGTGTAAGTCCTGTCTGGTTGCTCTTTCTCCGGCTTTTCCATGATACAAGCCAGGACTTAATCTGCCTTCTGACCCAGGCCAGAACTGCGGCTGTGTTAAGGCCTGCCCTCTCTGGAAGAAGTGTTGTGACCACGTATATGTGCAGCATCACCAGTTATAAGGCACATTCTTGTTTTCCAGAGCTCTAGATTTTCCAGTTTTTGTCAATTGATTCTTTCTGGAATTTAAGATGAGATAACATAAGACTAATTAAATATATTATTGGGAAAGTAATCTTCCTACTTAAAGGCTCAGCTTCCTCTTGGACCTGTGCCAGAGCTAAGGTGTTCCTGAGGCCTATGGTCTAGGAGCCACAGGGGGTGGAGAGCCCTCAGATGAAACAGGGTGGGCAGCTCAGCCTCTGGTGGCCCCTTCCTCCAGGCTGGTTCATGGCTCTGCGTGAGCAGGGGCTTCCCAAGTGCAACACTGTTTGTGGCACTCACATGCCACTCTGCCTCCTTCACTGGCTACATGTTTAGGAATTACTCTCCTGTATTTCACCTTGGATGTCTCATGTTCTATCTTTGGATGGCTATGCACCCAGTCCTGCCCACATGGGAAGGCAGGTAATATGGCAGCAGTGACACAGTTTTAATAGCTGTCCTGCAGCTCCTAATCACCCATAAAGACATGTGCAGCTTGCATTTGAGGTGGTTGCTCCAGATAGCAAGGAAGAATTGGGGATAGTGGCAATGATGTAACCCAGACAAAATGAGCTGCAAGCCCCATTCCCTTGTGGTCTCCATCTGGCCGAGTAAGGGTTCCCAGGGCAAGTACTGCTACCACTACCAAAAATCCAAGGTGGCAAGAGACTGCCGCCTGTGTACCTGGGGCACTCTACTTATCCAGCATTCCCGTGCCCACATGGTGACTTGTGAAACTACTGCCCCAGGGCTTCCTCTGTGCACCCAGCCCCAGAATTGACAAAGCAAAAGCAGGGGAACCACAGGTTGAGCCGGATCCTGGGAGGGGTCTTTGTAGGGATGGGTCATTGTGATGAATCCAGTGGCTGTCTGGTTTGTGTAGTGAGCACATGCTGGAGGCGTAAGTGCAATGATGGAAACTAGGGTGAGGATGGGACCTCAGAGACCCACAGCCCCATGCCCTCTAGAAGCTGCTCTGAAGAGAGCACATGCTGATCCCTTCTCACACCCAGATAGGACCCAGAAGCTACTAACTCACAGGAGAAAAGCCAAGCAATAGCCATCTCATGAGGAAGAAACCATTTACACACAGGAGATACACTCACATGAAGCAAAGCAATTTTTCTTTTAATGCATTTTTTCTGCAAATAATTTTTCCTTAGAAGAAAAGGCATGAGGAAGCTTGTGTTGTATTTTAGAAAAGACAATTCTATGGAAAGAGCTTGGGTGATGGCGAAAGTAATCTGAGGCACCCCTGCCTGTTGGCCTCTGAAGGCCGTGACTGGTAGGGGGTGCAGGATTCTGGGGCAGCAAGGCCTGATTGCTGAACCTGCCTGGGACCCACCTTCTCTTAGTGGGACGGCTGTGGTCCCTGGGGCTGTCATCATGAGCACAAGCCACATCTTTCACCATTGTCCTCTTCTCTGGGCTGGAGGGAAGCCTGTGGTAGCAGGAATGCCTACCCACCGATTCGGGTGGTTCTGCTTTACAGGAGTTTAAACCTAAAGGAGCACTTCCATGGGGAAGCCCTAATTTCTTTATCAGAATCTGTTCAACAAGTTTCAGAACGATCTGTATTTTTGCTTCCTCTCTGTTTCTGACCACTCTGTTTGTGATTGAGGTTTGGCTTTGAGCAGGAGCTGATGAGGATTTGGGCTTTTGACTGGAGTCTTCCCACCCTTTACATTGTTTATTGGAGTTAAGACACTGTTGAGAGTGCTTCATCTTTTTGTAAATTAAGCTTTCAGTGTAAGCCTGGTCCTTCTCTGGCAGGCATGGAGAGGACTTGCTCTCAGGGGTATCTACTTCCCTGACCTGTTCGAGAGGGCTCAGCTCACAGGAACAGGAGGGCCTCTCTCCTGCCAATGTTTGCTCCTCGTCTCCTGGTCTGGGCTTCCTGTAGTTCTTACTTTGGTTAGTGGGTTCAGACAGCTTGCTGCTGCTCTTTTCTGTGTCCTGGAATCCGGACATGCTGGGCTCATGCTGTCCCTGACTGCTCGCCGCATTCACTGAGTGGTCACACAGGAACTGTGGGGTTGGCGTGTTGCTGTGGGGTGTGTACTGGGAGTTGGCCAGAGAGGCTGGTGAAGGACAGGTGCCGGTGCTGAGGGGCGCCTCAGTGTGAGACTCTCGAAGGCTTCCAGTGGACACATCGTGAGACCGGTTCTCTCTATCTCCGTGCATATTGATGTCCGGGTGACTATCCACTTTTCTCCTCCCACTTGGAGCTTGATCAGAGGAGCAGGAGTGATTACCGGTATCCTGAGACCCTAGAGTCCTTAGGCTGATGTTGATGTTCTGAGCATTTTCCATCATGCTGGCCCCTACGGTGACTTCCCATGCAGGCTGCTTCTCCTCCACCTCTAGATTCCTGCTCTCTTTGGCTACTGAGAGTGGGGACAGCAGTTTGATTTCCAGCATCGGTATGTTGTGACAGGTACCTCTGAAGGCCATCCTCCCAGTCCCCTCCCCTGGGTCACGCTTGGCCACTGCTGGGCCTGGAGTGGGCACTGGGCTTCCTCTCTTAATGCTGAGAACAGTGCTGCTCTGCTGGGTGCAGGCAGCAGAAGGAAGCACAATCCCCTGTGCAGTTGGGGGTACGTCTGAGGGCCCATTGGCATGATGAGATGGGGTCCCAGTGCCAGATCTTTGCGCTTCCTTACATGCAGGTGACCTGGTGGCAGGGAAAGGAGAGGACATTTGTGCTGTCTCCTTCTGTCCTGGAACTTTCCCCAGAATTTTTTGCCTTAAAGTGGCTAATTTGGCAGTGCAGTCAGCCTTGGAGTCACAGGTGGCTGAGGAGGCAAAGGCAGGCTGTGGAGGCGGCCAGGCTTGAGCCTTGCCTACGTGGGTGCTTCTAAGCTCAAGGTTCTGGAAGAGAGACTCCCTCCACTTGTGCCTTAACCGATAGTTTCTAATATGTGCTTCCAGCAGTAGATGAGTTCTGGGGTCAAGGAAAGCAAGCACCTGTGAGGTGTTCACACATTTTTCGAGACCCTTGGAGTATTTTAAATAGGTGGGCTGTAAGTGGTCACTGGATCTGGGCAAAGCATGTGTGGCAGTAAGCCAGGATCTCCGCACACGCACAGGGATCATGCCTTCGTTGATTTGCCCCAACTTCCTGCTCAGATGGACTTGCAGGCCTTTTTGTAAAACTTTCTGATGTGGGACCCTAGAGAAGTGACCTCCTGAGCCATACTTGTCAGGCCCCATGGTGTCGCTCTGGGCACCCTTGTCCCCCTGAACTTTATATGTGGAGCTTCCTGTGCCTCGGGATGCATCTTTCCTTACTTTGCTTGCATTTTGTTGCACGTTCCTTCTGTCCTCTTGTTTGAGGGGTACCAGACCCTTACTAAAGGGGCTGCCAGGGGGCTGGGGCCCTGTATTCTGGACAGTTTTGTTCCTTCCACAAGTAGGTGCTAAGGGCAGGGTGGGCTGGGTACTTGCACGGCTGTGCTGTGCCTGGCCCTGATTCTTCCGTGGGAGTTTGCCCAGAGGCTGCAAGGGATCTTGGGATGGCAGGAACCTGAAGGCAGGATGGGGCGGGGCCGCACTCCGCTCAGCTCTGCTGAATGCCGCTGGCCTGTGGCACTGTGGTTTCTGCTGGAGCTCAGTGCTAGGAGAATCCCCAGAAGGGACGGAGGCAGACTGAGAGGCCTCAGAGGCCTGGCTGCCCTGAGGAAGGTTGAGTGTGGGTAGGATAATGGGTTCTTGAGCTTTTCGGAGCTTAGTATCTAAAGCTTTTCTCCATTTCTGTGGCTTCTGCAGGGTCCATTCGAGGTCCTGATTTTCTTTGGGAAGAAAAGACTGCATCTTCTTCTGGGATGAAGAGCAAGTTGTTCCACAGACCCTGACCTGGGATGGAGAGGTTGGCTGCGGCTTTGGGGGAAAGCACGGGATTTGGGCCTGGGACTGGGTATAAGGCAGAAACGGGGGCAAGTTCCGCAGAGATTGACCTGGGATGTGAGTAGGAACTTCATTAAACTTGATGGATCGAGATCGGCTAGATGAAGACCTTTTAGCAACCCAGGCAGTGGCCACTAGGGACTCGCTGTGCAGAGAGGGCAGGCCCCAGAAGAGCAGGCTGCGTTCATGCTCTAATGGGCTTCCCACGACCTTGGGGATGGAGGGCTGCTGAGGAGACCCAAGAAGGCACGTTGGCTTGGCCTTTGTGCTGTAGAAGGGCCGTGCTGAGGTGAGCTTGTCACCCAGTAACCTTAACAGGTTGCTCAGAGAAGCCCGAGGGTAGTCTGTGTTCACCGGTTGGAAAAAAGAGCCACCCTGTTGCTTTTCCTGGCACATTTTCTGTTTGATTTTCTCACTGATCAGCATCTCCAGCAGCTTCTGCACATCAGGGTGGATGAAAGAGTGGTCCCCTCTTCCTGCCTCTGCCTGCCAGTGGGCGGGGCCAGGACAGAACACAGTGTCTGGTGGCTGGTGAGGCAGATGTCCTTGCTGGGATGTGCCATGTGCCCAGGTGAAGGACAATGTGGCTTTGGCAGTTGCCCAGCACCAGGAGAAGAAAGAAAGACAATGGTGAAGGTGGGCAGGGCCTGGGAGAGCCGTGATGAGAGATGCCAGACAGGATTTACTGAGCAGGGAGTCCTGGGGCCCAGTGCCTGGTGGCACTCTCCTCAAGGTGGGCTGCTCTTCTTGAGGTTCTACAGAGAGGGTGGAGGCCAGTGAGTGCTGGGTCCCAGAAGCCAGAGAAGGCAAGGCAGACAAAGGTCTAGAAGAAGGGGGAGCTGCTGCCCAGGGCCTGGGTGGGTGATTGGCTCCAGCAGGCCCTGGTATGAACACCTCACCTGGGGCATCTCCATGAGAGAGCTCATTGGATCTGACATTTCCAGGGAGCTTGTGTAGGAGGCTGCAGAAAACAGGAGACAGAAGCTACAGCCAGGAGCAGACAGGCCCAGAAGGTGGGTAGGTTGGCAGGGTGGGCAGTGGTGGTCCACAGCCCCTCCACTTCCCCCACTTGCCCAGCTGGGTTCACAAAGTCAGCCATCCCAACATGGCCTCTCACCTTCTGTCCTGGAAATGGAGGGGATGGAAGTGGAAAGTTCCTCACCTTTGTAGAAGTAAAACTAGATGCCTAGTCTCCTCCAGTTCCTTTCGGCACTCTCTGCAAGCTGGAAAAATAGACTGGGTTATGGTAGAGAAGGGAGGCACCTGGGATCTTACAAGAAGCTGCATAGATGTCACCTAGGAGACACCCTATCAGGCTAGACCTGGAGGCTGGCCAGCCCTCAGTGTCCAGGGCTTCTCACAGTGATAGATAGCAAGGAGCAAGAAGGGGCAGCTTTTCGTGCTTTACAGCCAGCTTCTGCACCCACCAACCCCCACTGTCCTCACAGTCACCTTGTGGGGAGGAACAGCAGTTCATCTCATGAGGAGTCTGTTACAGAGCAGTAAACAGCACTCCCGCAGTTAGGCCTAAAAATTGCCCCTGCAAATGTGAGTGGTATTGTTGCACTGTGCTCCACACTGCCCCCTCCTGGACATCACTCTTCACTGGCCAGTCACAGCTTCATCCCAAGCATACAGCCTGAGAATAAGCCCCCGTCAGATCCCTTTTGGAGAAGCTCCTCTCTTAGTGACATCCTCAGAGATGTGGATCTGGGTACACTGGACCAGGGAGTCATGTCACATCTGTCCTAGAAGGACAGAGCCTTACCTTTCAGAAGACAGCTCTTCTTTCTCTTGCTGTTTGTTTCCCACATCTTTTTCTCCACGTGGTGCTGAAAGACAAGATAGTCTCAGACCAATTCTTCCTCTTGTTTCTGTGTGCAAAGTTCCTGAATAGCATGACTTTCTGTGTTTTACAGTAGAGTTCATTTATAATGTGGCTAAAATACTTTCTGTTTTTCTTGTTTGGAAAACAGAAAAGTTCTTCAATGTGATCTCTCTCAGGCTCAGTGAGACCTGACTCTCCCAGCCCCAACCTGCTTGCCAGCTGAAGCACTGCTTGCAGCAGGGAACCCTCTGGGCACCGCAGCTGTCATGGGCGCGCACAGGATGTCGGGAAGGAGATAAGCTAGGACACAGAATTTCGCGGGTTCCAGGACTTCTGGGACACCTGGAGCCACCCACAAATTTACACCTGACCTTTGAGAACTTTGCCCTGTAAAGTAAGACAGCCAGAGAACTGTGACCATGGATGTTGATTAAAAACTTTCTGCCCTAAAGTCCCCTTCCTTCTTTCCATCCTTATAAAAGGGCACACTTCTTTTTATTCCCACAGATGGTCTTTTCACTTTCTGTCTGCCTGCCCAGGTGGCATAAATTCCACACCATGTGGCCTCTGCACAAGCCTCTGGTGCCGGTCTCTGCTGGTCTCCCCTTGCCTCTCATGCTGTGTTACAAGCTCCACACAGATGGTGTTGGTTCCAGTTCTTCTGATCAGAAAGCACAGACTGAGCTCTACCCACGTGGTTCTCAGCCCCCATGGAGGCATCCACTTCCAGGTGCCAGTCTAGATGTACCTGCCAGGAGGATGGGATCGACGCACCAGGCCTCCAGCCCCTTCTCCACATGTCCCCAGTTCTCTGGGAACTGCACTTAGTGACCATTTTTATTTTATTTCACTCTGGCCCCCTCCAACACACCACATGGGTTGTCTGAGGGGCTCAGATGAATGTCTCGGTGCCCACTCTTGCCTCTGCCCCTCCTGTCCCAGAAGAATGACATTGCTACTGAGATTTCCACAGTCAATAATTTTCTCAACTGGTTTAGGACAAGTGGTACCTATAGTAGAAAAAAGAATCCTGTCAATTGGCTTCCTCTCAAGGGTTACTTACCTTTCTGATGTTTTCCTTTTTCCCAGTTAGTGGAAAGATGGATTAGTCTTAAGGAAAGAGATCAATAGGATGAAAAGCGCCAACATACACTCAAGCACAAGGGTCATATCCATTGCCCAGCTGGTGAAGCTAGTGCTCAGCCATGTGGAGCCAATACCTTTAAGAAGCCAGAGAAGATTCTCCATCATCTGAATTGAACTGTAGTCCGCAGGCTACAGTGAGCAGGGGTGGGGCCCAGCCCTGCATCACAGAGCTGTGGTCTCCCCATCACAAAGGGGTCCTGAGCAGAAAGAAGAAGCCACACGGTCACCACTCCCACCCTCCAGCCCAGCACATCTCCACCCTCCCAAGTCTCCAGATTCCTTCTCCTGAATCCAGCTGCTCAGCAGTCTGATGGTGCCCCGCACATTTTCAGCTACCACCACCATCCTGAAGCCCGGGTGGGACTGCTCCCTCGGGGTCTCTGCCTGAGCCACGGCACTTACATAGTTTTTGAAACTTTGGAGTTATCCCTTAAATTTTCTTTCATAGGAATTACCACTCTCAGGATCTCATCTCTATACCTCCAACAAATTCCCCACAATATATATATTTACATTATGTCAATCCATTCCCAAAGTTTCTTTCACACTTATTTAGCTTGCTGAGTTTGGGGTAAATTTTTCATATACTTTTCAATTAATTTTTTTTCTGTATTTTCAGGAAAGGTCTACAGGTTGTTCAAGGTCTCACTACTAGATTGAACACCTAGTAATCCTCCTGTTTACAGCCTTCAAAGTGCTGGTATTACAGGTGTGCGCCACCATGCCCAGTCTCAATTGATGTCTCAGCAAGCCCTGGGGGCAGGGTTAGCACAGCAGGCCCATAGATCGAACCCCCAGCCCTGTACCTGCTTGCAGGCACTTTAATCTGCTGAGCTATTTTGGCCTGGTTGGTCCTTAATTTTCTTTTTTAAAATACATTTAGTAAAGGGTCTACAGGGACTACAGGGTCTCACTACTAGATCAGACTCCTAGTGATCCTCCAGTTTTCAGCCTCCCAAGCTCTGGGATTACAGGTGTACACCACCCCACCCAGGCTCAATCACTGTCTCAGAGCACCCTGGCTGCTGCACTCTGCTGAAGCAGGCACTTTAGTCTGCTGAGCTGTCTGGCCAGCCCTCCCTTTCGATGAATTTTCTCTTTTCAGATATGTGACTATAAACCAAAAAATTACCTTAATAACTGTGGGAACTCCTTGGTGTCTCAGTGTACCCCAAGGGAGAAATAGCGGCAGGAATGAGGAAAAAATAGACAAGAAGACAAGAGTTGAGTCAGGTGGAGGCTTTCTTGCCTGGTTGGCAAAGAACCAGACAACAACAGTAGAGGTGTTTAGTTATGCTCTTGAAAAATTAGTTTTTAGTATCACGTGACACAAGGTTGCCTAGTAACTAATAGTTGAAGTTGTCTAGCCACGATGTTTTTCTCCAGACTGAGGTGGCTTGAGTGCTTAGGCTCTGTGACTTGTCCTGCCCTCACACATCTGACCAGCTTCGGTGGCTCCCAATAAATAGCATTACTATAAAATCACAAACGAAGTATAAAATTGAAACAAGCCCTGAAAGTATATTTTTGCATATTTCTAAAATGCTTGCTTTTGGAATCAATGAAAAATAAACCGTAAAAGAAAATTTAAGAATTTCTTTACATGCACACACAACACTGACAAATCAATCCACTATTTTCAAATCAAAGAAGAAATGATTTCTTGCCATTCAAAGGCTTCTTTTGTTATTTCTTATAAGACAGTAGTGTCAGCAGCAAATGTTCATAGACTTTGTCTATTTGAGAATATATTCTCTTTACCTCATTGATGAATAGATTTTCTTCACATGAAATATTTGTTTGAAACTGATGTTTTTTCTTTAAGCTCTTTGAATATGCCAGTTCACCATCTTCCTCCCATTGTTCTGTTGCAGGAAAATTGAGTCAACAGTATCTAGAAGCTCAGGAGAAGAAAGGAAATTTTATTAATTTCCTTGCAGATTCCAGAGGACTAATCTCTAAAATCTGAGGTCTTTTTCTATAGAGTGTCAAGCAGGAGTTACAAAACACTAGATAAGCGTAGCTGAAGGCCCTGGCATCTTGTGTTGAGCATAGTTTCATGTAGCAAAGTTCCTTTCAGCACATTCACAGAAATTTCAATCTGATAACAAATCATGATTTAGCTGAATTCTGTGGCAGAGAACAGAAGGGCTACAGCTTTATTGGACAGTTAGACCAGGATTTCTACTGGCTACAGCTTTATTGGACAGTTAGACCAGGATTTCTACTGGTCTACTTTCTACTTCATTCCTTGATGCCCCTCAGGGACTCTGAGGAGCATCACCATTTGATTTGATTAGGAATCAAATATTGAGTGTGGGCAGGACATCAAACTCAGGTAACCTGAGTGGTTTTTTTGTTTGTTTGTTTGTTTTTTAGTACAGGGTCTACAGGGTCTCACTGTCTAGGTCCGACTCATAGTGATTCTCCTATTTTCAGCCTCCCAAACGCTGGGATTACAGATGCCCAGTCCACCATGCCCAGTCTCAATCTGGATCTCAGCACGCCCTGGGGGTGGGGCTGGCATGGCATGCCCCTGATGGAACTTGGCAGCTGCACTCTGCCTAAGCAGGCGCTTTAGTCCATGGAGCTATGAGAGCGGCCCTGCCTGGGTGGGTCCTTTCTTCTAAAGACCTGCCTTTAGAAACCTCTGAATTAAACTATGTGTACAGGGGATTATACAGCAACCCATAAGAATGAGAGTTTTGGGGGCTGGCGAGATAGCTCAGCGGTCTAGAGTGCCTGCTTAGGCAAGCTTAGGCAAGGTGCTGGGATCTCGGTTTGTTCCCTGGCATCACACACAGTGCTGCCCCCCCCCAAGAAAAAAAGAATGAGAATTTTATTAGTAATGATCAGGGAATAAAGTATGAAGGCCATTAAGCCCCTTTTATTTGTTAAACCATTGTTTTAGTAAACTTTTAAAGAAGTTCTTAATTCCAGCTTTTTGCGCTGTTTTTTTTGATAGGAGTGTTTGGCCTTGGAAGGCTTTGGTAACTGTGCCGTCAGGGGCAGTGTTTCTTGGGATAAAAATATAGCTTTGGATTTCTGTCATAACACAGACACCACTTTTTGTTGTTGTTAGAATCATATCTGAAACAAATCTATTTTTTAGACCATCTTGCTGGTGCTGCCAAGTTGTTTAGCTATTTTTAAAATAGTATCCTGGCTTTTATTTATAAGCCTTGGCTGATTGTAATAAATATAATTTATCCAATCTCCATTTTTGTTGATAGTGAACTACCGGAACATGAAAAATCTGGCAGCTACTTGGTTTTGAGCTTTCAATTTATTGGGGATCCCTCCTGTGATCCCTGGTGTAGCCATGTAGACAGTAAAGTCAAAGGAACCTGGGGAGTACATTTTCTGAATGTGTCTTGGATGTATTGCTGAATCTAGGAAGAAAGACTGAGCTTTGAGTTTGAGTAATTATAAATTGAATAACCAATAGCCTAGCCATTGGGAAAGGCTACATATAGGTATAGAAATTTCTTTTAGAACCACCAGACATCTCCATGGGCTGAATTAAGGCTAAATCAGTGAGGTTTTTAATTATTTTGAATTATTTATATTATAAAGGCTGAGCTACTGTCACTTCCCAAGGACAGAGGGAATCCATATCTGAGAACAGTCTCTCAGAGTATTGCTTGACTGACCCTAAGAGGATTTTTAAATAAGAATCCTTGGTATTGGGTAGGCTGGCTGTTGAGACCCAGCAATGTCTATGGTTATTTAAGAGGCCCAATACAGTACGTGGCACCTAGATGGTTAGGCCTTGGCCCAAGGTGAGTTTGTCAGCTTTCCTGGTCAGCAGGACAGTGGCTTCCAGGGTGCAGAGGTAAGGGTGCCAGGCCTTAGTGACTGGATCCAAGTGTCTGGGTGCTCTCAGGGACCAGCAGGGGTGCTTTAAGTAAGCACCTCTGAATCCACATGTCGTAATTTGTCAACAGATAGTTGAATGAGCAAGTTAATCTGGAATTCCCAAGCCTGGAGCTGTAGACAGGGCCTTTTTAAATGTCACTGAAGGCTTTTTTGTTGTTGTTCTGGGTTCCAATCAGAGGTGTCAGAGTCCTTTTTAGAAAAGGCATTGTATAAGGGCCTTGCTTTTTCTGTGGAGCCAGGAATCCAGATTCTGTGGAAACCAGATGCTCCAAGAAGTTTGTGGCATTCTTGGCTTATTATAGGTTTTTTTTTTGTTTGTTTGTTTTTGTTTTTTCCAGGTCCAAGGGCGTGGTGTCCTGATTTAAGCCAAATCCTAGATATCTGACTTTTTTTTTTTCAGATTTGTATTTTTTTAAAGATACTTTGTAGCCAGTTTTTGTCAAATGTTGCAGCAGAGCTTTGTGTCTTCCTTGCAGGCAGTTTGGGCGTCATTAGCCAGAAGGTCATCAGTGTATTGAAGGAGGGTGCGGTGATTTTCTGTGCTGGAAAAACTCGTGAGGTCAGCTGCAAGGGCTTCTTTTAGAGGGTAGGTGAGTTTTTATATCCCTGGGGAAATTGAGTCCAGGTCAGTTGACTTTTGAGTCCAGAACTGGGTTCTTTTTATTTAAAGGCAAAGAGGGGCTGGCCGAGAGGAGCCAACCGAAGGTAGAAGAAGGCATCCTTTAGGTCCAGTGCACCAGCAGGCTGTGGGGGCAGAACACGGAGGAGAGTGTAAGGGCTTGGGACTGCAGGATGGAGGGCAGTCACTCCAATAGCTTGGAGCTCCTGAACTGGACGATGTTCCCTGTTGGGTTTGTATTGCAGGGAGGAGAGGTGGATTTCAGGGTTGACAGTATACGAAATTCCATAGCCCTGAAGTCTCTGGATGTGTGGCTGGCTTGTTAGTCGATCATCTTATGGCATTGGGTATTGTTTGATGAAGGTGAGGTTTTCCCCAGCCTGGAGTTTTTAAGCAGAGGTGGGTAGTCAATGGCCAGTCCAGGAGGACAATCTTTAGCCCAAACTAGGCAAAAGAGAATCTTGAGAATTTCTGAGTTGGCTTTATCTGTGTGTGTCCATCAATCACCATTTTTTTTCCTTGGGAGACCATGACAGTAACAGGAAATGTGGTTATGGAACTAGAAGGGAAAAATTGTCCTGGAGAGAAGGTGGTTGTGGTTTCTAACTTGGATAGGAGATCTCTCCTCAGGAGTGGGATTGGATATTCCAGAAAGCAGAGGAACTCAGTATGATTTGGTGTCTGTCCTCCTAGGCTGCAAGTTTGTGACTGACAGAAGGGGACAGAGGCAGGAGTCCCAGTTGCCCTGGTGATAGGAATCCTGTGTGTG